CCAGAATAATGCCTGCTTTGGCTGCGCTCCTTACCACCAGCCCAGCCCAATAGTATTTGTCTCATTTATTGATAAGAAGCTCATGCAAGACCTTATCAAATCCTTACTTAAGTCTAGGTACCACGTCCCCTCCCATCAACAAGATTTGTTATCCTATCAAAGAAATGTGATTGGTTTGGCAGGATTGGTTCTTTATAAATCCATGCTGTCCGATATGTATCACTTTATTATTTTCCAGAAGTTCTGGAATGTGATCTGGAGTGTGCCCAGTAGCGAGAACAGCGCTACAACAATGCTAAACCATCAGAACGTATTTGTTCTGCCGTGTACATGTGTTACGGTATCACTCAACAAACTGTGTGGCTACATCTAGACTGGCATGATTTCGCGCACATACTTTTAACTGAAAAGTTTTTCCGTTAAAAGTATTTGTGCAAGAGAGCGTCTATACTGGAATGTGCTTTTGTGCAAAAGCAACCGTGCCCGTGTAGATGCTCTCTTGCACAAGAAAGCTCCGATGGCCATTTTAACCATTGGGCTTTCTTGCACAAGAAATTAACATGGCTGTCTACACTGGCTCTCTTACTCAAGAATACTTGTGCAAGAGGGCTCATCCCTGAGCCGGAGCGTCAAAGTATTTGTGCAAGAACCACTGATTTTGTACATTACAAAGTCAGTGTGCTTGTGCAAATACTTGCAGCCAGTGTAGACAAGCGGCAAGATTTTGCACAAAAGCAGCTGATTTTGCGCAAAATCATGCCAGTCTAGATGCAGCCTGTGTGTTTTACGGACTGGCTCTACTAGCCTATTAACAAAATTCTTTAGTGCAGAAACACCCCGTTAGACACCTGTGGCTGGTCCCTGTCAGCTGACGCTGACTTGCGGGGCTGAGGCTCAGGAGTCATGTCATTGTGGTGTGGCAGCTCAGGCTTGGGTTGGAGACTGGGCTCTAGCACCCTGTGAGGTTGGAGGGTCTGTGGGTGGGTGATATGGAGGGGCCGAAGGCCTGTGAATGGCAGGACATAACACAGGCCCCCTTGTCTCCTCAGAGCTAGAGGCACAGAGGGGCGAATGGTTTGTGAGGGGCAGGGTGGGGGAGCAGCCCCCTTTTCCCTTCTAGGGAGGTAATATGGAGGGTCTGATTATGTGGAATGGGCTGGGGATGTGGCTAAAGGGAAGTTGAGGGGAGCAGGTCATAGAAAAGGTGAGGTGGGGGAGGAGGGTCAATCTCCATAGAATCACAGAATGCTAGAACTAGAAGGGACCTTGAGAAGTCATCATGTCCAGTCCCCTGCCCACACAGCAGGACCAAGCACCGTCTAGATCATCCCTGACAGGTGTCTGTCTAACCTGCTCTTGAATATCTCTGGTGATGGAGATTCCACAACCTCCCTAGGCAACTTATTCCACAATACTCCAACTGAACACTAATCAGTAGAGTAGAGTGGAGGAATGACTTCTCATGTCATGCTCACAACACTCCTGTTAATGCCTCCCAGAGTCATGTTTTCTTCTGGAAGGGAAGGAGGTGGAAGAGGGCAGGAGGAAAACTGGAGGCTGGAATGGCAGCAGAAGGGAGTATGATAATATGGAGATAAAGAAGGACACTGGGCTGCAGGACCGAACCGAGGAGGTGGAAGGGCAGGTTGCAGGCTCTGGGGCATGGAGGGCGGAAATGGCTGACAGGGTGAGGTGGGGATCCTGTGGGGAGGAATGGCATGTGTGGGGAGAGAGGTTTGCTGGGCTGGAAAGGGGGCTACACCATGGCTGTGTCTACACTGGCATGAATTTCCGGAAATGCTTAAAACAGAATAATATTCCGTTTTCAGTTTTTCCAGAAAAGGAGCGTCTACATTGGCAGGCTGCTTTTCCGGAAAAGCCCTTTTTCTGGAAAAGCATCTGTGGCCAATGTAGACGTGCTTTTCCGGAAAAGACTACTGGGCTATCTACACTGGCCCTTTTCCGGAACAGTGTTCTGGAATAAGGACTTATGCCCGAGTGGGAGCAGAATAGTTTTTCCGGAATAGCAGCTGATTTTGTACAGTAGAGCATCGTTGCTTTTCCGGAAATTCAAGGGCCAGTGTAGACAGCTCGCAGCTTATTCCGGAAAAACGGCTGATTTTCCGGAATAAGTGGCCCAGTGTAGACACAGCCCATGAGTTCATGGGCAGAGGGGGCTGTAAGGAGCATGCAGGAGAAGGGATGGATGCGCAGCTTACACTGGGGGTTCCTAGGAAGATGGTTGCTGTGACAACCAAACACCCCAGAGAGCTAGGGGAGATTCCCCATGGCTGCTTTGTGTAAGATCCACTCTACTATAAACGGTTCCAAATCCAGCTAATGGAAAGTTTCCAAACCCAGTCACCCGTGTGCCGTACAGTGCACCGTCGGTATGGCTCTGTACCAGGATATGTGGCACTTTGGCTCACTGAAGCACAGACACCTCCTGGCCTGTCAGCGAGCACCTCTCACAAGAGTGATATTCTCCTTGGGAACATCAACTTAGGTTCCACCCTGACCCAGTGTGAGTGCCGACCCCTGACTCACCGCAGTGACCCCATTTACAGCAGCTCTGAGATGGATGATTGCAGCATCTTCCAACTCATCAGGGGGATCGGATTAACCGTTAATCCCAGATGCTGCACCAGCGTAAACGGAGTCCCTATAGAAATAGTCCATGTCTACCAGGCATTTCCCATTTGTGCCGGCAGAGATAAACCGTGAAACAGTGCAAACGACAGGGATTCCCAGTTGATTCACTGATCCTCACGAGCTTTCCCCAGGTGCTATAAACACTGCCACAGCCTGTCTGACAGACACAGGCTATGTTCCCGCACAGAGCATTCCAGCTCGGCTTGCTCGGGGACAGATGGTGGCCGATCTCCAGCTCCTGTGTTAGTGGCTTTGGTAAGTGCCCTGCTCAAATTGCATTGATTTCACTTATAGTAACAGGCAGTCTCAGTGGTGGGAGTCATTTCATCTGTGAACAACGAGCTGCTCATTTTATTCTCAACGACATTATCACTTATTTTGTGAAGTCTCCCAACGCCCTAGGATGACAGGTCCCCGCCCTGTGATGTTTGCTCGACAAGCGCTCGGTGGTGCAAACATTGTGTATGTGGGGTGGACTTTTCCATAAGCAAGGGACACAAACCCCAGTGAAAGCCGCCTTGTGTCCTCTACTCACTTTGGCACTTTTCTGTGAGGGCCACTGACTTGCTGGGGTTGTGTGTGGGAATAAGGAGCCTAGGAATGGCCAGGCCACATCTGAACTCTGGTCTGTCAACACCGATAACTTCACTGACAGTCCCTAGCCTCACACGCTGGACAGGAAGGGCACCAGTAATCTTGGAAAACCCAGCACTGAATAGCCTACCAGTAGCTTATAGCCCATGGCAGAGGTTGTTGTAACCACTGAAAGAATGACAGGTCCTATCTGAGCCTCCTGCAGTTTCCGGGGACATGGGACTTGTGTGGTGTGTAGCACCTCTCAGGGTGTCTGCCTGCTGGGGACACTACGTGGGACATTTGAGCTCTTTGTCTTTGCTCCCACAACACTGAATTTCAATGGGGGGGAGGGGATGCCTGGGTCAGGCATACTTAGGTCAGCTGGGCTGAGGATCTGTGAGCTCCACAAGGGTTTTTCAATAAGATACTGACTCCACCCTGTTTGCAGGGCCATAGCAGGAAGGGCCATATTATCTGTCAGGGTGTCATTCGTGTCTTGCTAATGTCGTTTTTCATTGCAGGGAATGTGGTTTGGTAAACTTAGCAGAACCTCCTGAGGGCATCATGCCAACCTGCAATGAAACCAACACCAGTCGTACAATCTTCCTCTTGTCAGGCATCCCTGGGCTGGAAGATTTCGGCCCCTGGATCTCCATCCTGTTCTGCTCCATGTACCTCATGGCATTTTTAGGAAATGGTCTCATTCTGCTCGCGATAAAGACACGGAAGAGTCTCCATCAGCCCATGTACTTGTTCCTTTCCATGTTGTCCATCACTGACCTCGGCTTATGTGCTTCCACCTTGCCCACAGTGCTCAGCGTCTTCCTGTTTAACACCAGGGAAATTGATGCCGATCTCTGTTTGGTCCAACTTTTCTTTGTTCACACTTTTTCTAACACAGAATCTGCTGTACTACTAGCTATGGCCTTTGATCGCTTTGTGGCCATATGCCACCCGCTGAGATATGCTTCGATTTTAACCAGTGCCAAGGTAGGAAAGATTGGGCTGGCGACAATAATCAGGGGTAGCGGTCTGAATATCCCATGCCCCATTCTTCTCAAGAGGTTGCCGTACAACAGGATTCAACCTCTCTCCTATTCCTATTGTTTGCATCCAGATGTGATGAAGGTGGCCTGTGCAGACGCTACGCCCAGTAGCTACTATGGCTTGTTTATTGTTCTTTCTACTCTGGCCTTGGACTCGTTGCTCATTGTCTTGTCTTACATCACAATCCTTAACACAGTGCTGAGTCTCAGATCTTGGCATGAGCGCCTCAAGGCCCTGAACACGTGCGTCTCCCACATCTGTGTCACCCTGCTGTTCTACATTCCACTGCTCAGTATGACAATGATTCACAGGTTCATGAAAAATGCCCTTCCTCTGAGTCAAAATCTTAGTACGTATCTCCATCTCCTCCTCCCTCCAGTGCTAAACCCCATTGTGTACAGCATAAAAACCAAAGAGATTCGTAAACAGATCATGAAGATCTTTCAGAACTATTCCACTAAGAGATTCCGGCACTAAGTTGGTTTCTCTCATCTCTTAATTTACGAACCGCCAAGAATTGCTGTGACTCTGAGACAGCATCTGGTCAACTGATTGAATTAAACGGAACATTCAACAGCATGTTAGATAACTATTGGCAATACTTAGTAAATAGACCAATTTTGAAATGTTAGTCTGTATTGTGAGAGAATGAGAAAGAGTCATTGTATTTGTCTGTGTTTACCTATGTCAACATTTGGAGTAATGTAACTTCTACATGGTAAATTTGGTTCCTGTCTGTAATGTTTAAAAATTATATTCTATCAATTCAGATATCAAAAGGGGTTATTACTATTGAGATTAACGTTGTGGTATAATGATATCACTGTCTATTTCTTGTTAAAATTTGCACTACACTACCTATGAACCAGTTGAGTGGTTAATTATCTTATGCTAAGAAATGCAACTAGTTATTGGTTTATGCTTAGGAAATAAAGTTTTACTTTAAACCAACAACGCACATTACCTGTTCTTCACCCATGGAATCCCTGCTGTGATCATTTGCCAACATGAGGTTAATCAGCTGAGCATCAGTTATAAAGAGATTTTGAGGCCCGGTCCTTACTGTCTCAGATTTAGTTATGTTAGAGGCAGTCAAGTCAGAAGACTGAGGTTTCCAGGTCTAGTCTTGTGAAAGAATTGGCAATTCTCATGGAAGAATTTGAACCAACTCAACACATGGACTGTCCTTTGCTCTATGAATTTTTAAATGAATTCCAGAAGGGTTTCTAGAAATCAACAGTGTTACAGTCTCTGTCATGAAACTGATCTAAGAACTTGATTCAGATTTTTAGGTACATTTATTTTTAAATACAGCAACTCTCTTTGTTTCCTTTTAAAATAAATCTTTTGTGAATTAATCAGAATTGGCTGTAAGCTTGCCTTTGGCAAAGAAATATGCATTTACCCAACGAGCAGTGGGACTGTTCTCTTGAGATTGGCAGAACTTTGTATCTAATATATCAGATTTTAAATAACCCGCATTCTATAGACTTGTTGGGCAGGATGGCAGGGAGACAAAGGCTGCGTTGCTTAAAGGGCTGTGTATTTTGACTTCTTGGTCACTAGTAAGATAATACAGAAGCTATGAAACTGATCTAAGGACTTGATTCAGATTTTTAGGCATATTATAGAATCATAGAATCATAGAATCATAGGACTGGAAGGGACCTCGAGAGGTCATCGAGTCCAGCCCCCCGCCTTCAAGGCAGGATCAAGCTCCGTCTACACCATCCCTGACAGATGTCTATCTAACCTGTTCTTAAATATCTCCAGAGAGGGAGATTCCACCACCTCCCTTGGCAATTTATTCCAATATTTGACCACCCTGACAGTTAGGAATTTTTTCCTAATGTCCTGGGTTAGTAAATAATTATTGGCTGTAAGCTTGTATTTGGGAAAGAAATATGCATTGGCCCAGTGAGCAGTGTGTTTGACCCCTCGGGATTGGCAGAACTTTGTATCTGGTATATCAGATTTTAAATAACCCTCATTCTATAGACTTGTCGGGCAGGATGGTAAGGAGACAAAGGCTGCGTTGCTTAAAGGGAAGTGTATTTCGATTTCTTGGCTACAAGTAAGATCATGCAGAAGCTACTGATTCAGTGACTCTAGTTATGAGAAATTGTTATTCTCCATATAGCACTCAGGGGGGTTCAGTGGAATTCACATGAGGAAGAAGGAGTTCAATGGAGGAACACTACTTGCTGTCATTTCTGAACTAAGTGGTAGGCTGCCTTGCAAATTCTGTACTCAGGGATTAAGTGTTGCTGTTTTGGCTGAGCACGCACCATATTTTTCACACATACAGAAGTAGAATTCTGCTCCAAGGGCAAAACTTGATTCTGGGGAGAGCAAGGTGGGGCCATGGGCAGAGGGCCCAGTACAAGGCCGAGGCAGTGGAACAGCCACCCCACTGGAGCTCACACCCAGGGCAGAGAGAGCATCTTTGGCTTCACACATGTGCCCAGGCAGCTCTTACCATGGCCCCGCTGCAGCTCGTTAGTCCCTGAGCTCATTCAGGATGAGAACCCTGTGAGCAACTCTGGGCAGCCACAGTCCCTCCATCTGCCCAGGGGGTGGAGTGAATGTGGGCCTGGGGCTGCTCTCAGGTGCCCCCACCCCAACGGGCCAGGTTCCAGCTTAGCCAGTGGGGGTTATGGGAGGAAGAAGAGGAAGGGGCAGGGCCATGGAAGGCCAAGGCCTTGTGGCCCTCCCACTTGTAGGAAGAATTCATTGCCCCCGGGCCTGGGGCGTGTGAGGAGCAGCCTGTGAACATTTCTGGGGGTGCCCCATACCCACAGGGCGAGTTCCTTGTCCCTTTCCCCTTCTCCCTTTTCCCCTTTTGTTCTCCTTCAGCTGCGATTTCATACATTGACTGTACTTGGAACGACTATGTAACAGTCAGAGCGGGTTAGGGACGTGGCCAGGATGGAGAGAGTCTGCGGTGGGGTGGGGAACACTATAACACCTCTTCTGAGCGACCATGACAAGATCAGGGGTCGAGCTCGTGGGCTTCATGTTGAGAACGCGTAAATGTAAAGAGCAGACTGTCTGGATCAAGAAAATGTCACATCACTGCATGAGACACCTTCCCAGAGACTGGTGTGGTAGCAACATTTTTTCCTGTACTAGTTCATTATGGGCTAAGAGCATTCACCTTGTCATTGTTTATTTGGCCTTTTCAGCATATTTCATAACAAATGGAAAGTTGTTCGAGCAACTTACTGCGCCATTGATCCACCACCAATAGGGATCTCTCCTTCCTGGCAGAGTTTGATAATTAGCTGCAATGAAGGCCTGCACAGACAGAACTCCCCTCAGCAAAAATCCCAATGAAATTTATGCGCCTTGTGCATGAACGAAATAAATGGAGAATTTGTTTTAAGCACCGTGCTCCAGAGAAAGCTCCTGGAAATGGTAAATGCAATTTCAAAACTGCTGCCATCCGAGGACTTGCTGAGACTTTTTCCAACTGCACGTTTTACAGGTGTCTTGATATAATACATTCCTTGATTCCAAGTCCCTGTCAGAGTTTACAGGCAGGTGCTGATCACATCAGCGTCATTCAGCTAACAATGCTTCATGCAGCCCAGGATCTGTGTCCAGGTGCTCAAATCAATCCCCACAGACATTTCTCAGGCTTCTCCTGGGCAGGGGCTCGCATTCGATTCTGTGCGGAGCAGCAGTTCTCCAACAATGGGGCACGCTGCCCAGGTGAGGTGTGAGATTGTGTGAAGGGAGATGCTAGCTGGGTGCCTCATTTGTCAATCCAGGCAGCTGAAGATCCTGCGGAAGGGCCGTGTACACCCAGGGGGTGAGGGGAGTAAAGGGGAAAGCCCAGACCTCAGCCACCATGGGGTGAGAGAAGGAGTCTGGGGTGACCATGGAAAAAAAAGCTACAAGGGGCACAGCAGGGCTATAGGCTAGACCCAGGCCACCATGCTGTGCTTTTTCCTCCCAGTATTGTAAAAGGAATTTCAAACGATTATCAGCAGCGCGCTGAGTGTGAGAGATGCCTTCCCAGAGAAACGGGAGCAGCTGTGACACAGGGAGACCCGCATACGCCAGCTGCAGGGAGGGCGGCAGGGGAAGTCCCAGCCAAATGCAGCAGCTGAAAATATGGCAAAGCTTATTTCCCACTGGGGTTTCCATGGAGCGTGTCTAGCAATGGGTCCAGGCCTCACTGTGTGGCAGGCCGTGTTGTACTCACAAGCAACAGGACACGGCCCTGAGAGATGCCCAAAGGGGTGCCAAATGAGACACCTTTGGGCCCAGCCACTCCCCTACACACCCAAAGGACTATGATCTACCCCTATTTCAGAGCCCACTGCTTCCATGGGGCCTGCTGGGATGTGCCCAGAATTCAATAGACATGTTCAGGGATCTGGGTCTGTGAATCAACATGAAAAGCTCAAGCTGCACCTCCTGCACAGCCCAGCGTTTATAGGGACCAACTTCCACTTTGCCACAGGCCAAATCACTCCTGTGTCAGCCCATGTTCCTCTCCCCTTGGCCGTGCTCATAGAGACGGTCCAAACAGCCCGTGGATGTTAACCAGACATGGCCTCCAAGTCATGAGTCGATTTTTCATTTTAAAATGTTATTCCAGTGGATGTTGGAATCTTTTGGCTAGCCTGTGTTGTGGGCCAAGAGCTGAAATCACGGAGACACTGACATCACAGAGAGCTGAAATCACCAGGTTTGGCCTAGAGCCAAATCCATCACATGTGGCCGGCTGGCAGGAACGGCAGCAGGTGGCCAGCAAAGCGTCACCAGAGAGCAGTAAGCAGATGGATGGTGAGTGACCAGAGGAGTGGGTGAGATGCCTCTTAACCCCCACCCCCACCTCACACACACTCCGAATCGGAAGTATATTTCAGAAACTACCTCTGAACTCTGGTCTGATCTGAACAAGGGCAGCAACTGTGAGTGGGGTGCAAGGAAGGGTTGGGCATGTGAATGGGACACTTACATTGCTGGACTTGTGAGCCTGAGAGGCAAAGGACACTGCCTGATATCCTTGAGTGGGGATGTTCACGAGTGGATTGGTTATGAACTCTGTCTGTGGAGTTTTCCCAAGTTAATGTCACATCACATCTCTCCCTCTTTCATTAAAAGTTTCTTTTCTATGCTCAGACGCTGTGTTTGCGCTTGGGGAAGCATTGCCCCTCGGAGGCACACAGGGGTGTGTGTGAATTTTTCAGGCTACAGGGTGGGGGCTTGAGCCAGTTCTGTGTGGGATGGATGGAAAGGAAGCTCTAGATGTTGAACATGGCCCTGGCCATTGCCCATGCTATCTGGAAGAAGGATAACAGTACAAACAACAGGGATTCCCAATAGACTCACTGATCCTCAGGTGCTTTCCCCCAGGCTCTATAAACACTGCCACGGCCTGTCTGGCAGACACAGGGAATGTCTCTACCCTAAGTGTTCCCGCTCAGCTTCTCGGGGCTTGTGGTGGCCGATCTCCAGCTCTT